CTTGCATTTTAAATACCTCGCAAGAATAAATTGGTGATTCTTTATTGAAATTCAAGGGAATACAGCCAGGCTTAAAATTAAAATTTAAAATCAGTTTTCATGCAGATATATTCTTAATGAAGTAGGAGATCAGTCAAAACTGGCTTGCCTCAAGGGTTGGATAAATGTGCTTGTACCATTTTTCAGGCTCTTCTTTCACAACTTGCTACCTGGTGCTTATAGGCTGCATACATGTAAGCTTGTTCAACCTAAGCATCAGTTTATTTCATGAAATGGTCCCATATATTTTGGAAGGACTGTTTGCTCCAAGATCCTCGTATACCTTCAGTGTTTCACTGACAAAGCCATCAAGCCTAGCGTGTGCTGCAGGCAATAAGGCAGTATTGTATTTGCTTTACCAGTGTAGTGTGGGGTTTTACTCACATGTAAATTTATTGAAAAAGTTTTCCTTAAGAAATTCATATCCTTGGATGTGAACTTTGAAGTAGGATTTGGAAATTTGCTATGGCAGCTTTCCCTTTAGAATTCCACTCAAATTTCACGGCTACAGTAGGCTTCTCATAGCAGTGTAATCACCATTTTTGAACTGTTTCTAGCTTATAGGAGCTCTGGCTAAATTTGCTAGTGGCAGTCATGAGACTGTTGACTAAAGCATATTCCACAGGCACAGTCTGGGCTTGTGTTATATTTTATGCATACCGAGAGATATAAAAAAAAAGCCCCCCCCCCCCCTGTTTTTTTTTGACTATAGTTTACCCTAGAATGGCTAGCTCTGCTTCTGAGACCTCTCCTGTCTGTTAGCAGAACCATCAGCTGGCTGTGAACCCATCGGCACTGCTTACAGAGACGTGTTGCCAGCACCACCTGATTTCCTCATTCTCCCTTTGCTCCAACCCCAAGTATCGAGTGATGAAGGTTATTGCCCCTGTTGTTTTCTATCTGTTATCACCCAAGCCTGTGATCTGAATTCACAGGAACATTAAAACAAAGTTCTGTTTCATAAACTGTGATAAAGGTATGACTGAACTGGTGAAACCTGCAGAAGGGAAGCAGTGGTGGCTGGATTACTTAGGAGTGAGGAAGATGTAACTGGAAGCTGGAATGAATTGACAGGTCTTTAACCCATCATCTGTACCCATGAATTCTTCTGTGATCATGTACTTGATTCCAATTACTTCAACTGCTATGTTACTTCAAAATTGCTTTCTAAACTTGTGTTCCTTAAATACGCATAATTTTGCATTTAAAATGCACACCTGAGTTACAAGAGCTTAACAGAAACTTCTGTGCAAATAGTTGCACTTTTACCCTTCTGTTCCTAAGATCCATGATAAGTCAGTTTCCATGTAAAGGCAGAGCCCTCCTGAGTCTCCTGTCCTTCACTCACAGGCTTCCACTGTGCTGACCTTTCCTGTCTGTTTCTGGACTAACAGCTGTGGTGGTTATTCAGCTATAGATTTGTCAGCTATTAGATGTTTACAGCCACATAGGAATAGCCCCTCGTCCACCTCTGTTTTGTTCTGCTCTAAAATTTCTAACTCATTGAAGGTTCCTTTTTTTGATTCTTTTCAAAATGCAGGATAATTCTCAATTTTCCCCAACTGCAAGATAAAAAAAGGTGTGTTCATGTGGAATAGATCATCTAAGAGAAATAAAGTTAACTGAGATGAAAACTGGTGAGGCAGTTGGGGATGCAGGAGGAATGACTTGGAGAAACAAAGCCAGGGAGAGTCAAGCACCAGGCAACTTCCTTCTAATTGAGAGTAGTGTGGACAGGTAAGGGGAGTGAGTTGGATGTGGCCCTGGAGCTGGAGGAACGGGAGCTGCTGTGAAGGGAAGCTGATCCTAGAGATAAGCGAGACGACAAGAAGGAGGAATCTACAGCCGGAGTCTGGTTTCTGCTCCGAGCTTTGCCACTACAAGTCCCTCCGTTCTGCCTGTCCTGCTCAGGGCTGTTCATTCCTGCCCCACATTAGCAGGAAAGCCCTTCGTCCTGCCGAATGAGGCTAAATCAGCTCATGCTGGGTGTTTGGACTGTTCCCTGTGGCCTGCTGGTGACTGCAAAGTTACAGCTCTTTGGGTTAGCTAGTATATTATAGTCAGTATATTAATGTCATTCAGGTTTTTTCTTTTCTTCAGATTGCAGGGCAATATTCCAGACTTAATAGTGTATGAAGATCCTAAGCTTAATCTTAATGATGCAAAAGTTTTCAGATAAATCTGGATTCAATATGTTAACTAGTGGCAAGTGCTGTGAGCCTGTGTACTCTTGAATTTGTTAGTGCTTCTTGCAGCCATTGTAGTAGATGAAGTTCTAATAAAATGAAGATGGAATTGTGTGAATAACTTACTAAATAGTTTTATTGGTTATCAACAGCGTTTCTTCTGGGAAAATGCCATCAAGAATGACATTAAATATTTTGAAAAACTAATCCATTAATAGCTGAGCATTTCGGATAACTATAAATATTTAAGTCAATTGCTTTTTATAAAATTCAGTTTGTTCTTAAGTAGCATTGCATGCTGATAAAGAAATTGAAGAAATAGAATACTGAGGTTACTCTCATAAATGAGTAATTAGCATTAACTTCACTCATCTCTTAGCTTTTGTAGTTGTCCTTTTTTAAAAGGCAGACGTGAATTTGGAACTGATGCAGAAATTGAGAGAGTCATGAAAGAGTCTGTGTCCACATTACCCAGCAGTGTGGCTAAGAGAATGGGATCTGTCAGGTGCTGAGAACCTGACAGCCATGCTCTACAGGTTGTGGGGGTTTTGTTTCAAAGCAGTCCTCTGAGTCTGTGGCTGAATTCCTGTGAGTGGTTGGAGCATCTACGATGTGCTTTCTGAAGCTTGTTTTCTCATCTACATATACTCAAAATAAATCTTCATGTGCACAGAGGCTGCCTTACTGTGTAAAGTAAAGCAAGGAAAATCGGGGTGTTTAGGGAGATTGGTTTCTGAAGAGCACCACTGACTTGAATTCAAGTATGAACATACACAGTCATGCGAATCAGGAAGTTCACTAAAATCATTTTGTTTGTTGAGGGAACTTGGGTATCTGATACATGGGAGTAAGATCAAGAAATTCAATGGATACTTTATAGAAATTAACATTTACTAAGAATTTTCATCAGTTTGGGAGTCTGGAAAGAGGACATCATTTAAAAAAAAAAAAAGGACTAGCAGTGTTCAGAAATGCCTTTACAAAGCAGGCTTTTTAAATAATACAAAGTGGTCTTTGTATAATCAGATATTAGATACAGGGGATTTGGCCATGTTGTAAAAACAGAAAGCACACTGACCTTTTTCTGTTTATAGTCCTGTCTTCTGGAGTCCAACAGAAGGTGAACTGGAGTCTTGATGAGAGAGAGAGTGAGATGGATTTATTTTGCAGATTTTTTACAAACTTGCTTTAAAAAAAGCAAAAACATTCTCCACAAACACCTTTGCATGGTGAGAATGTTTTTCCAATTCTACCGTGGAAGAAATAGCAATCAAGTGTCAGCCTGTCTGCTCCGTGGAGACAATTGTCTTTAAGAACTGCTGCTATCTGATATTCAGGATGGTTTCGGGTTGCCATTTTAAACAGATTTATTATTTATTACCAAGACTATTAAACCTCAGTGTGTTAGAAACAGTGCTTATAAATGGACATGGAGACAGGAGTATCCTGACCTTGTAATGGTAAAGGTCCTTATAGAGCTTAGAAAGGAAAAGAGCGGAGAGGTAGACATTGAAACTTTTCCTTTGCTAAAAATCATGTTAGGCTCATGATTCATGCAGTACTGTTGGTTTCCACGTTCAGAAATAAGGCATTAAATCACTAGATTATAAGATTGGTTGCATATTTTTTAACAGCACGTCTGGGTTGCTGATGCTGGAGCATTTGTTACTTTCAGGGTTATCTTTGCAGTTTTAAGACTAGAAGTTCTTAGTGATAAAATTCTCGTATATTTCTGAAAGGTTTGGATGATGGAAGCATTCACAAATTGTGACATTGTGATGAAGTGGGAAGAACTGGCAATATGTGCCATATGCTCGAGTTGGAATCTAAATAGTAAAGCTGATAAACCCAAATTAGCTTTCCACAAAAATGTTTAAAATCCATGGGACTTGACAGAAATCAGGCTTACTACGACTGTTAGAATGCACGGTAAGAGCTTGCTCCTTGCTTTCCTCTGATGCTTGGATGTAGGACAGTTCAAAAACATGAACAAAAATGAAACCCACCCTATTGCCAGTATTTTTACTTTTTTTTTTCCCAAACTTCTTGACTTACTTTTTCTTCCCAGGAACAGTCATACCTTTGCGTAGCTATGATAAACCTACTGCTTATTTCTCTGTATATTTTATTATTATATTTTATTTACTATATTATTATTTTATTATTATATTTTTCTCTGTATATGGCTCATTGTGTACTAGAACTAATGGGGTGACACCAGTGGAATTTTGTTGTGAGGCTTCAGTCTTGGATTCTTCTGTGTTTAATAAAGATTGACTTGGGCATCATTTTTGTTGTTGTTTTTTCCATTGGTATCACCACACAATGTGTCCTTCCTCTAATCTGTTGCATAGTTTTAAAAACAAATAAAATTGGAGAAACCTAGTGGCTTGCTAATCAGGTTGGTGCAGGCCAGGTGAATCAGAGTGTTATTGGGAAAGATTAGAAAGGCATATTTTCAAAAGAAAACAATTAACAGGGGTTTTTAACACCTCTCCTCCCAAGCATCACCCTTCATCTAGGACAAATGTGTATGTAGTAGAAATAAAATTAAATTTAAATGCTTTTTAGTATCGGTGTTTTACAAATATGCTTCAGCTGTACAACTACTACAAATGCAAGTGTCTAAGAAGTTTTTTTCTTGAGGCAGTTCATAATAGCAAAGGGCTTGTGTACCTCTGGCTATCAGTTTCTGCAGTTTGCATTATGTACTATAAACTGACAATACAATTTCTTTGGATAACGCTTAAATCAAATTCTCTTACTGTTTTACAGATTGATAGAAATATGCATTTCCATAGTATCACCTTTGAACTAATGAAGTGGAAGTACAGATGAAAACAGTCTGGAGGAAGCTTGAAGTACAATACAGTTTCATTCAGTTTCCTAATTCTGAGATAAGGTAAATGCATGCAAAGTTGTATTTTGAATGTTTCAGGAGTAAATATGCATATAATAAATAGCCACCTTATCTTGCCTTTAAATTTTTTGAGCCTTTTATGCTGATAACAGAGCTTTTAATACCATTCTGAAACAGCTGTTTGAACTATTTTCTGTTCAATGTTTCAGTTATGAAAAGAGACAAAACAGTATCAGCTACAGATCAGATACCTCTTTTATGGAGACATATTGGAAAAAAGTTACCGTACCATATCAGTCAAATTCTGTTCACTGCAACCTGTTCAGTCACAACTATTAGTAATAGTGTAGTTGACGTAAATGACTGTGCTGCCAACTGATGTGCTAGTTGGGCATGTCTTCTGGCATAGTGCTTGATGGGTACAAAATTTTATTATGCTGTCCTTTTTATTATTACTGCTATTAATAACATGTTTTTTCATGATAAATTCCACTGCCTTGATAACTCAGTCATTCCTGTAATTGTGAGTGATGGGTATGGAGATGTGTTGTTTCAAATTTACTGCCTTGTGGTGTCTAAAGCTTTTTTCCTATATGTAATTAAGATGTACAAACATCCTGAAACATCCGATTTCTGACACATTTCAGAACTCTCTCCTGCAGCACTAACTCTGTTTCAAGATAGTGATCACTGGCCCTCCTACATCTAGCTTCTCATTGTTCTAGCTTTGCTTAACTAGAACTTAGGCAATGCCCACATGCAGTGTTGAAGATGTGATAGTGTTGGCCCTTCCTCTCACTTTTTCCCATTTGGGTAGAAAAAGGGTTTTATAACAGGTGAGACAGCTTCAGAGACTTATGCTGCCAAGATTGATCAGTTATCCTCTGTTCTTTCTTAGAAGAAGTTTGTGTCTCAAATTATTGTAGTCCTGTAGATTGTGGCCCCTGTTACAAACTGAAATTAATCCCCTTTCCAAGAAAATAAAGTTCACTTAAAGCAGGATGATACCTCTTCCACTTACAGAGATTAACCAAGGAAGGTTAACCAGAATTCATATATTTGACAGGTATAACCTATCCATATAGGAATTTATCCTCTTGTGGAAGTGTAATTTTAGAGAAAAAGCTCCAAGGGAAAGATCAGCATTAAATTCAGGTAACCTGTATTTTTCTTCTGCTGACTCATTACTCAAGAGTAGTAACTTCCTGTACACTATAAACACATTAACAAAGGTATAAAGTTAAACTTCTGTTGGCAAGTGTAAGAGTTGTAGTCAATCTACAGTACTTCAGGTGAGGAAGATCTTAATCTGGTCTACATTGAATATGTCTTGATGTATGTTAGCTTCTTCCATATTTCTGTTTTACTCAGGTTATTCTATGCTTGACAGTGCAAGAAGACGGGCATATCCACATATTGAAGTAAGGGTAATTACAAAGCCAGTTCTACTGTGCATCTTGCAGCTAATATGACAGATGTAGCACACTTACGTACTGCTAAAAAGTAAAGGGTAGTGCTGAAAATTAAAGGCTTTGTACTGTGACATGACCAAAAACTAATTTCTTCCCTTTTTCTCCCTGTGGGAGGGAGCAGATCATTTCTCATCCAATGACAGAGACAGTTGAACAACGCGTAAGTTCTCTTCTCTCTCTCTCTTACCAATAAGGAGGACTCTACAGATGTGGCAGTCTTGTAAGGTCACTCTTTCACCTACCAGGAATAACAGTTTCTGTTTTCAGCCATGTAATTACAAGAATTTCAGAACTGAGGTTGTGGGGAACATGTGCATACTAATAGGAAGCTGTAAACATTAGGGGCTATTTGTAGCAGTAAATAGCTTCATTAACCTAGACAGTCTGCTCTGAACACCAGAACCACATCTGCTGTTGAGAAGAGTGATTAATGTGCTGTGTTTGCTTAAATCTCAAGGTTTTATAAGAATAGAGAATTGTAAGTGGTCGGGTTATCATAAAACAGTTTTTTATTGCCCACTGTTCTCAGTGATCCCACTCTCAAAGCATTTAGAATTGATAACAATATTTATGCAGGTAGTCTTTTAAATTTTAATGAAAAAAATCTCATTCCTTTCATATAAGAGATTTGAAGAAAGGTAAGTGTTTGAAGATACCAAGTATAGGTGAGCTCTCTATGGAAAGAATATCAGTAAATTTCATTTTGTGTGTCTTTGAGATACTATCTGTATTTCCCTTTTAAGTATTCTTTGAAAATTAAATTGAAAAAAAAAAAAAAGAAACATCATAACTCCACAGATTGCCCTCACTCCTTCCCCTTTGTCCATTATATTTTTTAATAGTATTAGCAATAGATGGGGGGAAGGTGTTTTATGGTTTCCCCGTAAGTAAATAGGTGATCTGACAAAAAGTAAAATAGCACCACTGCTCCACCACAAGATTTCACTATCTTGACACAGCTTGTCCTGTTTTTACTAAAGATTATGGACTTGTAAGTCAACGAGCATGCAAATAACAAGAAGGAGTGTGTTAGAACCAAATAAAAACAGGTTATTTTGCCAGTCGTTTGTATTCCTACATGCTTTATCTCCTCTTTTCATACCTTGTAATTTAATTTCAATAGCCAAGTGACAAAGACAAAAGATGAAAAAAATAAGGTTATGAAAGCCAAAAGAGGGAAAGAATATGAATACTGGATATGGACAGAGTATATCTGCCCAGATGTTGATCAGCCACTTTATATACTTCGAGTGAGATCAGCAGTGTTGTATTTCACAGCATGACCTGCTTTCAGTTGAATTTTTCTAGCCCATTTGTTATTTTGACACCCATAAAGCTCTGTGAAAGCGAATGCTTTAATCTTAAATATATATCATATAAAAGAAGACGTTAGCATCTAAAATTGGAACATCGTTTGTTAGTTCCTAGATGGTGTACAGAGAAAAGTTGCAATTAACATGGAGGAGATAGAGAGATTTAAGTTTCAGTGAAGCATATCATACATGTCTGACAGTTTTTAAGATCTCAAGACGAGGAATAATCCTAGTTTATTTTAATCTTTAATACAGAATCTGATGGTAATACGGCACTTCTTGTAGTTTAGCTAATTGTACTTTATTTTTGAGAATGCAAAATTCTCTTAACGTCTTAGCAGGATACACATCTTTTTTAATTGTAGCTGTGAATCTGTGCAAGTCTTCAACATTTGCATGATGTAATTGGAGAAATACAGTTTAGTATTTTCCACCTAAGCAGTATGGCTGTGTATGCTTAATTACCTTCTGCAGCTAGTCTCCTGTATCATGTTGTGTCTTTATTTAACATAAAGATTTTGGTTGTGTGATTACATTGTTTTCTTTAGAGTGCTGAAAACTGAACTTGGATTGCTTCTATGTATTTTTTCCATTAAACTGTGATATAGTCCCTTAGTTTGTCTTTCTTCTAGCAAGGCAATAATTAAAAGAAGATTAAAGGCCTGTGATACAGAGCTGCTTGGCCAGTAACTTCAGTTGATGGTTTTGGAATAGCTTCCTAGTTTTCAGCTTCTAGTGCCTGTAGAATCCCAAAGTGGTGTTGGTAGAGCCATCTCAGCTCGTGGAACGGAGCTTGTTTGTTTAGTAGCCAGGCACACACGTGAGTGTCTCAGAACAAAATTTTCAAGTGATGAGATGTTCTTGTGATGATTTTCTTATTAACCATCAAGACTATGCAAGATCTCCATTCACTTAGGAAGCTGTTATTCTGTAAGGTCGGGGTAGCTGTCACTGAATTTCCTTGGCAGCAAACTATTTGCTCGGAGTTAATTCCATAACAAACAGGCTCAGCCACTTCGGGCTCGAACCACGAATGGGAAATGCAGGTCAGTGTGCTGAAAGCATTTTCCAGGAGTGGAGTAACTAGAAATGTGTCCTCTTTTTAATCTGCTGATCAAAACAGGAAGTGCCAGTGATTCAGCTGCAGATCTGCTTCTAAAGCATGTTGTCACACACTTTACTGGTCCTTTGGAAAGTAAAGTATGCCTCGTCTGTGGTCAGCATCCTCCTGGCACTACTTAAACCCACTTGTCCTGGTTTAGCCCAGGTTGTGTGAGTAGCATGACCATCTCAATCTCAGACATCTTAAATTAAGAACCTTCCCTGCTGGACCTGGACTGCCAGGTTCAGGAAGATCACGTTATACTGTCCTACAGTCCCTTTATTTATTTATTTATTTATTTTTAAACATTGAACCTGTCAGGCTCAGAAGCTACTGTCAGAAGTGTAGCATATCTCAAAGAAATCTGGGCAAGTTCCTATGTAGTAAGGGGAGACTAAATTTTGTCTTATTTCTGTATCTGAGTATGGGAATTTATGGTAGGATGGCAAATTAATTCAAGAATTTCAGGTGAGAGAAGTACATAGGAAATGCATTTACCATACAATCTGAAGATATTTGTATTAATGTATTAATATTTTACAATGAGATAGTAACACGAATGTGCAATTAGAAACCTACACAGCTTTCTGTTTTGTTTATTTGTTGACTTGCTGTTTAGATTAAGAATGGTAAGATGTGGTTATCTCCTAAACAGTAACACAGCTTGTTTTTTTTCATTTGAAGAATAGGTTTTGTCTCGCTACTCCCCCAAGGCAAAACCAAGCAGATAAACATTTATGATGGTACTGTTTTGAAACATTAAAATATTAGATATGGACTAGGATCCCCTGAGCTAGGATTAAAAGTTAAGGATGTCCTTCTCCGGAGATTCCAAGTTGCTAACATTATGGTAAGCTTCATGAAATGTTAGGTGAAATGTTTCTAAAGTGTTAGAGTTGATAAACAGAATTACATGGAAATAAATCTAAGAGTCCAGTTAAAATGCATTTTAAAGTAATAAACAGTTACCTGTTACAATAGCAAAATCTAAGGTTAGTTTAGATAAGGGTCCTTGTATAACATCCTTAATGTCCAAAAGAGGAAAAAAAAAAAAAGTGTGATAGGAAATAAGTAGTTTCCTCATTTCTAATGTAAACATGTGATACCCTTTAAAATATTAAATGTGAACTGTAGCCAAGTCTTGGTAAAGGTGACGTATTTTTATCATGTCCTTAAAATATATTTTTTGCTTACAACGCAGTACAGATTTTAAGGATCTTGAGTAATTGCATTATTTTCAAACCTAAATATTATGTTTTGAAATTCCTCTTTGTTAAAATACTGACAGTGGAATATAATCTGAATAATCAGGCAGTAAATATTCATGGCTTGGTTAGTCATATGCCATTTAGTTTAAATATACTGCTATTTTTTAGAAACAGGATAATCTGATGATACGTAGAATGGAGAATTGTCTGTTGATGGTGCAAGTTACTCTTAAAACAATTTACTCCATGTACATTTTGTTCAAGTGACTTGTGATTATGGCAGTAGTTACTTCTAATAGCATGAACCAAGTATTAGGATGGTAATGTGTGTGCATAGGGAAAAACAGATGTAAAACACGCTGGCTCAACTGTTGCATGAGCAGCTGTGGCTGCCAGTCTGCATGGCAGCTCTAGATTCTAAGCCACTTCTGCTTGTTTGTAACTGAGTAAAAAAAAAAAAAAAAGGAATAAAAATACTCAATTTTCATAATGGAATAGTTTGAAAAAGGAGGAAAAAAAAAAAGGCCAATGAGGTGGCTGTCTGCCAAAAGGTAACATTAATTTAGCTGTATTTTTAATAATTCTGAGAGCAAGCTAACAGGAAAAATGCAAGATTATATAACTTGGGAAAAAATAAAGGAAGTACACAACTGTAGAATGACTGGTGATGAAGGAAAAGGTTACTTGATCTATTTAGTGTGAACTTAAGGAAGGAAAACGTAACTATTCAGGTAGAATGAGCAAACAAATATTTGCTTTAGTGGAAATGAGGCAAGCCTTGCTGCTGCCTACACTAGAACGAGTTCAGTGTTGTCACAGTAGGCATTTATTTATTTAATCAAAGTAGTAAGGCAGGTGGTTGTAAAATATTAAAACATTACAATAGATAAGAAATAGAGACGTAGACATCGAAGTCCTTACTGCCAAGTTTTAGAAACGTGATGGGAGAGCTGTGGGAGCCTGTGTCACCTTGATGAAGAGTGAGTGACCTGCCAGAACTGGCCTGGTACCTGTCCCTTCCTGGGAGCCTGGCTACTGCCACCTCCAGTGCGTGCAGAAA